CTTTTTTTTCCACTGGTTACTTTACAAGTGCCCATTAAGAGAAGATTTTAGTGCTGTACATTTGTGGAGGGGACTTTATGGAAATCTCACTTGCATCTCATGCGGTAGAACAGGATTGTCCAACGATGGTTTGAGAGCAAGCTGGGCAGCTTACAATTTTTCTAAGATCTATGATCACCACATCCACTAGCCCCAGCCTTTCTTCCCATAAAGATGAGCCTGTTACACAGTTGTATTCTTGCTGGGCCATAGCATGACACCTGCTCACTCTAAATTTTGGAGTCTATTGCATTCCAGGATACAACTCAGTGGGAAGCCATTACACCAGCATCTAGCAGAGATGAGGCTGAGTTCATTCTTCCATGTGGGGGAAGTCAGGAGGCACCGTAAGGGGATAAGTTGGTTACAGTGCAGAGAGGGCTAGGAGGAGATACAAGGACTGTGGAAAGATGGCTCTTAGAATAATATAATACTAGAACTAGAAGGGACCTCAACTAGTCATTATGTTCAGTCCCTTGCACTCAAGGCAAGACCACACATCATCTAGATCAGGGGTGGGCAAGTTACCTCTTATGGGCCAGATCCGGTCCAAGAAGCCACTGGTTCTGGCCTGCAGACATGCTGCCAGGACCCTAAGGCATGCAGCAGCTGCTGATTTAAGACCAGGGCTGCTCCATGTGGCTTTGTGCTCTGGAGGAAAAGGGAGGCTTCGTGTGATAGTCCTGCCTCCAGTCCAATCCTCAGCTCCTACTGCAGGGGTAGCCAACCCGTTGCAGATGAAGAACCAAAATAGTGGTGGATACAGCGCAAAGAGCTGAGGGAAAAAAGTTGTTCAGAAAAAAAAAAAAAAAGCCCCGACGTGTTTGATTGAACAAAAACAATTTTTTTTTTTAAGAGCAGGCATTGCCAGTTTAAGGTGACCATTCTGAAAGCGGCCATTTTGAACTCTGCATGGAACGCCACAACTTTGTCTCTTTCAGACAGAAACATGTTGCCCCATTCAGAGCCGCGGGACTCAAGCCATGAGTTGGCCACCCCTGTCCTATTGGCTAAAAAAAACCAGGCAGCAAGAGGCGAGAGAGTGG